CGAGCTCCACTGCTCTTGTGCCTCACTGGTATTTCTTTTTCGACTTCTTTATCCTTATGTATTACTGTTACGGGCTCTTGTTTTCTTTACCTCCTTAGAATGTCCTTGTTGATTTGAGTAATGTGTTTTCATTACCTCGTGGCAATGTCCTTGATTATCCCTACTTTTTCCAGTAAGCACTTAAAAACTTTATTAGTGCTTAGATGTAGGCATAATTATGTTGACACCATTTCATTTTTTTCTTAAACACTATTTCAATTTTTCCCTTTGCATTCAACTGTTCGATCCTCAGTCTTCCTTTCTTAAACTGCGGTGTATCGCTGTTTATCAAACGTATTGTAATAAATAATTGAAAAGCCCTACTTGATAAAGCATAATCTTGTCTCCAGAACGGAAGAACGAAACCTATATTTCACTGTTGTTGAACTTAGACAAACCCTAGTGCCACAAAACGTGCTCGTTTCACATTAAAAAACCTCACGTCAGCAGTCAAACATCTCCGCATTTGAATCAAAAAAAAGTGGTCTGCTGCACCCAGTAAAACGAAACTATCATCCATCAAAACCAGTGGTGTACTGAGGTTTTCGCTGGAGACAGGAAAGGGAGCCTGGGAACAGTCCGCTTTGCGGTATATGGCGTGCATCCTTCGTTCCCAAAATCTCGCCTGTGAAACATCTAAACTCTTCTCCATGCTTTTTAGAACTTCTCAGACCTACCCATTTGTCAGGTTTGGTTACATATTCTAGCTACTGAGATACCCTGCGAACTGGCTACAGCACGAAAAAGCGCAAAAACGCATGATCGCTCCGGGCCCACCTGGTGCGTTCCAGCCTAGGTTTTCTCGGTGCATGGATCGGGCATTCGCGCAATGATTTCCGAAAACCCTCAAATTCAAATTTTCTTGCCGCGAATAGTTTATTTCTCATCGTTTAAGCTTGTATCAGATGCCTTTCTATCACTTAAAATGCCCGTTGCTTAGTGAGGGATCCGAGCAGAAAAGTACAAGGCCGCGTGCATTTACGTAGTCATGAAAGCATGCAATTACGCAGGCATGAAAGGCAAGTTTCTTGATTCGTTCTTCGCTCCCGGTCAAGGGTATCTCCCCTTTCCAGTCTGCGAAGCTTCTCCTGGAGCGCAGGTTGATTTTGAAAGGGAAAAGGGCAGCTCAGAGATGCAGTTATACTATCCATTTCTGAGTATTGCTCCGATAATGCGGTTTTGATGTTTGGGCTCTA